CAACTCATCAAAGGCCAGATTGTATCGTCATATAAAGTACAACAACTTCCAGTCATGACCACTGGTCATAATTAGACACCAAAGGGAAAAAACCTCACTCAGGGGAAACAAATCCCATCACTGTGTCATCGCAATTAAAACTGGACATTGGTCTCTATTAAAAACTTGGCAAAATGTGTTTTAGATTAAACAACCTGCATTAAACTCTTTTGTTGACTGGCTGGTTGTCTCCCTTAGGAATACTTTTACTAAATAGTCGTTACAATAAAAAACGGAAGATTGGTCAAAGTAAACCACAATTAATGACCATGAAATATTTATGTGTCTACGTGGAAGTGCACAGACAGTTTTAATACCTCTCGACAATGGTTGCCTAGCAATCCAGGGGACTGATTGTCTCGTGTCGTTCAATTGTCATCATAATAAAGAAATAGAATGGACTCCATTTTATGTGTCATCCGGTCATTTAAAACACAAGAAGAGGTACCACAGGTTGAAGCTACAGGTTTATATATAGAATACTTCCTATGGTATTCATTAAAAACTCGTCAGTTGTTTTCACAAAAATATCCGGATTCCGGAATTTTACCGAAATAAACAAGGATATAAACTTTGTGATTTAGGTATGAGGATGAGGACTGATGTTACAAGTAGAACATTAATTATTAACACAGTAAAACTTTGTTATACTCTCATCATTCTCCCTTGTAATAAATTTGATTTGGTAAAAGGGGCCTTATAAAGGAATTGGTAACTTACAAAATATTGTCGATAAGGAATGTGGAAAATGTAATAAGGAAGTCTGTTCAAAACTTGGGTTGAATTATCTTAAATATCCGGACGGAGGTTGAAGTAATTGGCATGCAAACGAGAAAATTGGATGATTCAATTGGTCAGACGGCTGCAATCAGAAGGAAAAATTGATCACTTATAGAAACATATTTATTATGACTCTTCAAAAGATGTGTGCCCCATGGCGGTAATTTTCCGCATTGATAATGCTGACCGGGCTACAGCTGCGGGACTGTATGGCTGTGTCGGGAGTACTGTGGGTATACATATACTCCTGAAGTGGTTGGTAATGACCGACTAGCCTTGTGTAGGGCAATAGGTAGATGAATATTACATGTAGCAATCTGTTGGCGTTCAAAGGCCGGTGGATCCCAGTGGAGAATTAACTCCCGAGCAGTGGATGTGGATGTGACTAATTGTGGACGTGGAATCATCCCCCAAGGTGGCATATCCATCTTTGATAGAGGAGAGCTCGGCCCTACATCAAAGCACTGATGTAAGACTACATTATCAGTATTACGAGGTGGATCTTTGTCTTTAAGGGTTTCTCTGGTACTTAACCAGGGGGCTTGTTTTACTTGCTATTGCTATTATTCATCGTTGTGAGGCAAAGTGTCGTTTATGGGGTGTTAACGATTTCATGGTGAGGAGAACAATGGTTATGAGCGAACGCATTGTTGTTCCTCTGCATGCGATCGGAGCTGGTGTGAACACATTGTAGCGATGTCATGTACAGCAGATATCCTCGGGTAAAAGCCACGACCAGTACACTTCCTGAAAAAGTAGGATCAAAGGAAAATTATGTGAGGTTCAACGTAATTCTAATTAATATCAGAATATAATATCAGTGTTATAATTATTTGATCAATCAAAGTGGACCCAAATGGCATTTCACATGAACAAGGCATTAAATACTTATATACACCTACTGTACTACAACAGGGAACATTAAAATTTGTAATCTATTGATATGGTGGTAAAACGATGCTGAATTAGTATCAATATTTCTGGTACAAGACAGTAAAATACATTTAATATTTGTTAAGTCTGCAACTATGTGTTATTTTCTTTCCACATGGAAGAGGTCTGATATGGTAATACATGTACATAACGTTGTAGCTGATCAGTGTTGGAGCACGGTTGTAATAATTATTGGTATGATGGTTGAAACCTGCAATGAAGTTTGATACTGGAACTATAAACGGAGGTACTGATTGCAATACCATACTTGCCGCCAACCTTTTGACATTTCTATGGGGGAGATTCTGCTTGCTCAAAACTAAAAACATTAAAAAAATGTGTTTATAGCCCCAAGAGACAAAATAATCTTTTAAAATTACAGATTTTTGAGTTGTTCTTTCATATTAAACTGTTAAATCTTACAATAATTGAATAGTTTAGCAACTTCCCTGGTTGAAGATTTTAAACTTGAAGGTCCAAAATCGGAGTCAATCTCCCTCCTAAATAGGTAGAGTTGGTATGTATAAAATACAAAATAATCTCACTCTGGAAATGTTTTGCAAAGAAATTATTGTACTTTTTTGTTGTAATAAATGTTAGACAGAGATTGTGTCATCATTGACAGCCAATTGAGTGTTTCTCTGGGTCGGGATACTCAGGTGTTTTGTTGTGATCATTGACAAGTGCTACTCCAGTAGATGACCTAATGTTAGTTGACTAAGACAGGTAACTGTCTGCCCTCATTAGTGCTGGGTAGTCAGTATCTTACCTGACCTGTATACCTGGTGATTACATACCATAGTAGGGATGACAAAACTATGATAAAGACCTCATTGTCAGTCAATATTGTTGTTTGAATGGATATAAATGTGTCACCGATATCTCAAGTCTGGTAACATGTTTTTATTTGTTTGACCTTGTGTTGAGGTGTGAAGGTTATCCCTCAGTGACAAGGGGCTGTGAGATAGCTCCCTAGGGAGTCAGATCAGTCAATCCCTTGGGGCTAAAAACAGTGTCAGTGAATGACACTATGTAAACTTACACATAAGCTTAGGGCATTACACCTAGTAAACACTGCTAAGTCATAAAACAGATGTTGTGCCAGTCACCTAACTGGACAGTGGTCATCACCAGTGCCAATAATACTATCGTGTAGAATCAATTGATTGACCAGTGTGTAGCTGGTAGCCAGACTGAACACTTTGACAGGGGACTGCAGCCTGACACTGGCACATTTATGAGGACCCTAGCCCTGCACCCTTATCATGTACAAGGTAGGAAGCTCTTGTGTAAAGCAAGTGGAAGGTAATGTAAGGAAATATTTGGAGGTATAGTAGGTCACACAAACACAAGGTAAAAAATGGACTAGGAAGTTGTACAGCACTGTATGGAAAGGTAACAAGCTATAGGACAGGGGTAAGTGCTTTTCTGGAAGACATCATCATTAATCTATATAATACCAATCTAAATAGAGAAATTTTATATCAGTGAGACTATCAACCGTAAAAACTGTGTAGCCCATCATTGTTTCTCTCACTGAACAAAACGTATTGTTTTCTGTACCGAGAAATGATCGTAAACAACAACGGGGAAAACAGATGCGATTTACGTAGGTAAGTAGGCTAGTACGGCAATGTGTTTGATGGCAGTGATAAGACGGTTATTGTGGGATTTCGTAATATTTGGAGGTATTTATTTGGCGTAAAGGAGGTCTTGGTTTCCATCTTAATGTTATTATGATACTTTTTGCTGGTAGTCCATGGAGGTTACTACAAAGAGAAGATATTTCGGATTGTTGGGATTTTCTTTTGGTATTTGATTTATGAGTGAGTATATATATATATATATATGAGTGTGTTGGCTTAGAAGTGAAGTACTAAAACAGTTATTTAGCATTCTGGGTGACTTGCCATCCTGGTATGATTACAACCACTGAGTGATCGAGATGTGGGGATGAGGAGAGGACCGGAGTAATATCCTCTCTTGGTACAGTGATGTATTGACCATAAGGTTAGGGAGATAGGATTGGCACCAGAGGAGTCACGATAGTGTATCTCCGTCTAACACTGGAGTCCTGGCATTGTTACCAGGAATGTATCCGAGGCGCACTGTCACTCTCCTCTCTCAGTTTTGGCACACACGAGACATTGTGAACATATGTGAGATTCGTGGTGACAGATACTTACATATGTTGGACTAACTCTGTGATAAATGTAACGACAGTAATTAACAATTGTTTGGCTCAAAACTGGGAAATGACATATTTCAGGCCATAGTTTCTGTGTCTATAACTGGTAATCTATTGGCTCGTATATTTTTCTTAAACTGTATTTTACGTTTAGTTACATTTGTGTACTATTTTGTCACCAACAGGTAGTTTAATTAAAATTAAAATATTTGGCACTTTTTAATAAGTGGAATACTTTTGAATCCTCAATTATGGACTAAATTATAGATTCACTGAGACTTAATTGTCTTGAAACACATTTATTAATCAAAAGTTTCAAAACTTTTGGCAGAGATTGACTAACAATAATATTTTTTTTATCTTGATTTTAATTTTTAGGAATGTCATATTTTTTCAATACTTTGATATATATGTCCCTGATTAGACTTAGTTATGAGTAATTCTTCAAAGCACTGGTTTCTTTGATAGCTCAGAATATTAATTAATTGTTTATCTGAAATCATAGGACTTAAGCCTACTCAAGTATATATATATATATGGAAAAGCCAAGACTTCCTAATCTGGTGTATGTATGGTTTTCTGAAACCCTTGATTAATGAAAACATACATTGAAACACAACTCCTTGATCGAAGTTATCTAAGCAAAGCCTTAAAGTAGACATCTGACCCTATTTTGGGAATTATTTTGACATATTCAATGTACATAATTTTACAATTTTATCGTAGTAAGTGTTTTGACATTTGAGAAAAAGTGGAGTCTGTTTTATCCTATTTCAGCCATGTTATTAGACATTTGCCATTTATCGTTTCAGATTTGTTTTATCCTACATTTAGACCATTTACATGTTGTACATGACCGTTATTTGTGACATCAACATCGGTGGAAAGCTTATCTACCGCCAAACCATACTGATCGTGTACATGTGTGAAGATTTGCCGTCAGTGACGCTAACGCTGGCTGAAGGTTAATTAATCTAGCTAATTGGTTGTGTTTGTGTGTGTACACATGCCTTGGTGATTATCCTATACTAATTGTCCTTTATTTCTTATGTCTTTGCAGGAATTATCAATTAGCATTGAAGATAACTCCACCGGTATGCCGTTACGAGGTGAGTACGGAGTAGCTAGGCCAGGCACAAGTCTATTTTGATGCACTTCGCTACCATGCAATGTCTCTGTATTTAATTCCTGATGCACCTGCAGTGTGCCTCGGTGCATTAGGAAATCCAACACCTCATACACACTCGCAAATATATGATAAACTTGTTTTACCTATTCTTGGAAACATTATTCCTTCAATGCAGAAATATATCTAAAAAGCATATTTTATTTTGAAAAATTCAATACCCATCGATTTTCAGTCAACTGAATGTTTCTGACCTTGAAAACATTGTATACTTGTGTGTAAGACCATTTTTGGAAGAATTTCTCACTTTTAAGTTTTGTATGTGTCTCTTCAACTTTTCGTTGGTATTTTTTTTTTTGAGAAATGCTATTTGACGTGGCTTGTGGTTTGACCTATGGCAATTAAATTAGGGTGGTGTAACAATGAGCCAATTAGCCACATACAGCTGACACCTGAGGAACAGTGGCAGTGTTCAGTAGTTAGTTAGAAAAACAAGTAAGAAGACTCGCCTTTCAGGTAACATATGGTTATGATCTGACAGGTATACCAGGTAATTCAATGAATTAGAGAAAAATGTAATAAGATTATATTAGCATGGTTGAAAAAGGGGGTCAGGTTTTACATACAAATATCTTCTTTTTTTTTTTTTTTAACACTCTTTTTCAAAAAGTAACATTTTGGTTAAGAGATTTTTAAGCCTGTTTTGGAAATTAGTTAAGATATTGGGCAGAAATACTAAAACGTTAATTGTACGATAATTCCTTGGCAGTGTGGTACTCAAAAGGCTGTTGTGTACAGGATTGGTTTACACCCGTGTCAAGGTGTTGATATTGTAGTAAATGGTTAGTTGTAAATATTACCAAAATGCAGGTGCATGATACATATCTAGACTAAAATGTTTTTAATGACTTGTGTACTCAATGTTCGAAAAATTATGACAGATTTATGGTAGATTTAGTACAATACACAAAAAATCTGTATTCACATCTCAAACAGCCATGCAAGGGTAATAAGTGTAAACCGCCGACTCACAACTGGGAGGTCAACCAGCTCAAACATAAATACAATCACTTATTTTTCATAACAACTGCATCTTAAAGTTTATGAAAAAATAACCTAACAGCTAATTGAAATGTCAATGTCATATCACAAAAATATTAAAAAATTGTTGACCAGGTTGATTTTGTTTAACACAGCCATAGTAAATCACCTCAACAAAAGTCTCTTTGGCAAAATGTTCTTTTTGTATCGAGATGTGATTTATTTATCTCAGAGTATTAAATTTCATGAATGACCTTCACAGATGTTTTAGAGGTTATAATTATACATCCGTGGTTATATATATAAATGTATAAAACCTGTCACAAGGCATCTAAAGAAAGCTTGTTACTTAGTGTGTAAGATATTTATAAAACTAAATGTGTTTTGGTTCCAGATTTAGCTTTTAGTTAAATTTTTATGTAAACTTGTATATTGATCCTTTTCATGTCAATGTCATTTAGCTAGGAAACAGAGTATAGGATTTATTTACTTTCATTTATGGAAATAGACACACTGTGACTTACGAGAGAAAAGCTGTGCTGCTTTAAGTTGTGATAGTGTTAGCTATCTGCATTTTCCTTGAAGTTTAGAGAAAGCTGACAGTTACATAATGGTTATTATAGAAGTTAAGCTGAGATTTACTGCCGAATGGTGTGTCAAATCCCTTTACACCTGTCCTAACGAGATTCTGTGTACATAAAGGTAGGAGGTTGACTGTTTACTTACCTGTAAAATCACCTGTATTGAGACACATAAGAACAAGAACATTCCATTGAAAGAATTATGTTTTATTGCAAAAACAGATTGTGTGAATGATACATTGATGATGAAACATTTCTTTTACACACGGATTACCAGGAGTCCGTACTCAAACGAGGGACATCACAGCATGTTTTGTAGGTTACAGTTTTGTATGAGCTCTAGCATGCTATTCTACCATCATGCTATTTCTGATACGAGAAATGAATTTTTACGGGACCAACTGGATGATTTAATTGTTGTATTTTGATACACACCCACTGAATATACTGAAGAAAATCAAAATCAAAATCAATAAAGAAAACTCTTTATACAGTTGTTAATTCATTTAATTATCATGATATATGCCTTTCATGATGTTTTAGACAAAAAAAAATGAGAATCAATTTGAAATATTGATAAATAAGGATTTAAGAGACATACTTCTCATGTTTAATTTCCTGATTCATTACAATCAGTCATTTTATGATTATACAGAAAATATTTAAAATTCTTTTCATAAAAATTATCAAATTGGTAATATGACATCAGTCAAATCCTGAAACAACTGTGCTATTGTTACTCACTGTAATGTTGTGTATGTATTTCACGAAGTAACAGCAATGCTTTATTAGACTTTTTACAAAGAGAGACATGTTTAACGATAGCTAAATACTAAATTGGTAATGGCGCATGCTGCATTCAGAACGAGACACAAAGGGACATAACTTGGAGCAGATGTCTATGATGTCACAAATTAAGCTTTTCAAGAAAAATTTGATGAAAAGCTCTAAAATAAAATGTCTGTTTTAGATGCTATAATCACAGGCTACGGTCATAGGACCCCTTTGAATTTGATAGGAATGCTCATGAAGGGTTTTTGTGAAATACTGGATTAATAACTAGATGCTCCCCTTGGTAATGGTTAATAACTTGATGCTCCCCTCCTTGCAAGTGCTGGGGGAATGATGAATGAGGATGATGTAATGTGATCCACACACATTCTATTTGAATTTCTCTCTTAGGCTGGGCAGCCAATATTCCCAGTGCGGGCTGTTGGGGTTACAGTTACCCCTCCCTCTGCTCTGTTGACCCAGCTGTACATTGGGCTATTGATTTTACAGCACTCCCTCCCTCCCACAGTCAGAGACAGGACTGGGTTTCAGCTGCTGACACAGACCGTTTGAAATTTGAAAACCTAGAACAGCAGGATGCTTGCATGTCATCTTTATTTTCGAGTAATGCTTTTTAACAGCATGTATAATCACTTGATACCTCCACACGGGAAATCTTACACCTTTTTCACATTTCTAACATATTCGTGAAGGATAAAACCCTTGGTGGGAAAGCCAATATAAGATTGACTGAGTTGCTATTAATCTGTTTTGTGACATTTTTGGAACCAGGCCTATAATTCTTGTTTTTTTTCCCTCGCAGTCGAGTTACCGCCCCAAAAAATGGACACGGATGCCAGTAAAATTTTAGCATTTGATCAAGCTGAATTGGATAAAAAGGAGAAAGGAGAAAAGGGAGATAACAAGGCTGACACACGTTTGAACATTGAGGTAAGTTAGTTCATACATTTTTGACAAAACTGAATGTTAACTACCAAGAATTAATGTCATCCTTTTGTAAATAAACATTTACAACACAGGCAAGAATTAATGTCATCCTTTTGTAAATAAACATTTACAACAAAGGCAAGAATATACATAGAACAATAATTGAGACAGAGTCCTTTGTTTGCTGTTATTAACATCTATATACTACGACAGTCCCAATCGTGAATCCTGTTTAACGTACATGTCAAAGTCTGAATGTAAAAATAGTTAATTCTGCGTGAAATGTCGGCCAGTGATTGAAATTGTTACATCACTCTCCTGAAGAAAACTTGTCAAACTTCCTAGTTTGATATAGTTTCATCCTAGAACATCCTTGCTAGTCAATGACGTTAACGCTAATAGAACATTTTGGTTAAAATGAGAGTTCTTTTGATATCCATGTTAGAGCACAGTAATAGGAATTGAATGGCACCAAATGTTGACTCTGTCTGTGCCGTACAATTACGGATGATTGTCTCTGAACAGCTAGCTTCTAGGGAGTGAATCAGTGGTAATCAGAGTCTACTATATAGCTCAGAGTGAGACCAGTTCAATTAACGTCGGTAGTTTTACATAATGTCACTGACTACAATTCTATCTCACTAGGAAAACATATAGCCATCCGTTACATTGTGGAAGATGAAATCAAAATCTTTTAACTGCTTTCGTTTTGGTGTATGGCATTTCATTTTTGCTTGGAACAAGTTTTGTTTAGAGAGGTTTTGTGAGAACTGAGCGAGGAGCATTCTGTTTCCTATGTCATCATTACTGTATTAGATGACATGTTTATAAATAAAAATGGAATTGGGAATTCCTCTTGGATAGAAAATTCATAAAATTATTAGAAATTTGTAGTGGACAAAGAAGTTATTTGAAATACATGCAAAGATGTGTAAAGAGATTTTCTGTACAAGAGAAATGATCTTGAAATTTTTAAACCTCTTGATGAAAAAGAATTGAAAAGGATAATTTATTTAAATATTTTCTGTGGAAGTTTGTGTTTTCAAAAATCTGGGGCACTATTGAACTTCTTAATTTAAAAAAAAAATCAGTTACTGTTTGCTTTTTGTCTTGTGTGATGATATTTGAGCTATTTCGTTGTTTCTTGTCTTGTGTGATGATATTTGAGCTATTTCGTCATTTCTTGTCCTGTGTGATGATATTTGAGATCGTCGTTTCTTGTCCTGTGTGAAGATATTTGGGCTAGTTATCGTTTCTGGTCTTATCTGATATTTAGGCCACAGTGTCCTTCCTTTGTACTTTGCTGTATGGTAGACTATCTGGTAGTCAAAGTACCTGTAAACATTAAAATAATTAAAAGGGGAACATGAACATGTCAGCGTGACAGGTATATGATGACAGTAAAGAGCAGTATTAACCTTCCCTAGGACTGACCGGCCTTTGTGTATTTGGTTTAGTGTTTGGGAAGACATGCTGCTCAAAGTGGACTCCGTATGTATGTCAGCCATAAAGAGTGGCCTCAAACTTTGACTAACTGACCCATCAAACAATTTTACTGACACATTATGCATGTGATTTTGTGATGGTCAACTGATATCAAAGCTTGACCATCAATTGTCCTTGATTGTCACCGGTCATGTTCAGCAGTGGTCACCAGTACACCTGTCCTGTCACTGTGGGGAGCTAACTCCATCACAGGTTCATCTGTTGCACCAATGGTGACCTTTTGGAACTTGCTGACCTTTCCGTACATTTGTTTCAAAATATTATTATGTTAACTAAGACAATTGTTTTGTAAATTACAAAAAGAAAATCAAGATTCGTCTTACATGTGGTTACTATGAGGGGATTTTGTTTAAATCATTCCCCCCTACAATTTTTAAAACAGACTTGCCCAGCCTTTGATTTTGTAAGGTTCAAATGTGACTTTACGGGCAAATGGGTTAATATGATAGTATGCTAATAAGATTAGAAAATCACAACACTTACAAGGAAACGATATTTTATTTACACTATTGTTGGAAGGGGTCAGGTAATGAATGCTGTGTAGATGAACCTGCTATTTATCAGGGAAAGTGTGCAATCAAGCATCTTTCCCTTTACAATTCCTTGTCTTATTATTTCTGCTATCAGTCAGCCTCGTTTTGGACTGTTGCACTCTTGAGCAACTCCAGTACAGGTGTGAATTGACAGGTAATTATGATATCATCACAAAAGATCGTTAATTGATTTAATGGTATTTAATGTGTAGTTACTACACCCAGCAAAATTCAGAAGAAAAACTGTGTTTAATTTGCTGTTTGCTGGGGTGTATTTTGATTCCGTATAATAGGGCATCTACTTGGTTCATTACGGCCGTTTATAAATACCATTATCTGACAAAGCGGGACAAATGAGGCGTTTCCTCTCGTGCTGGCTGTAGACTCAGGTGAACAAAAACAGACCCTTTGATGTCAGCGATATCATAACTGGCCGCTGATGACTGGTTCTTTTTTTGCAGTGAGGGCTATTAGTAGCATGCGTTTTGTTCTAGTAAATTACCTTTTACTGTAGAGAATATGGACAAGTTATGATTAATGAGATCTTTTGTAACTGACTGATTCGATATCTTAATTGCCTTTCACTGGTAATTTACCTCTTAGGTCTTTTTACTAGAACTGTATTCATACCAAAGGTGTTGTTCATTACGGTATGACTTACTCTACATACCATTCACTGTCTATTGACTTACTCTACATACCATTCACGGTCTATTGAGGTCACTCCACATACCATTCACTGTCCATTGCGGTCACTACATACCATTCACCGTCCATTGAGGTCACTCTTCATAACATTCACTGTCCATTGATGTCACTCTACATACCATTAACTGTCTATTGACTTACTCAACATACCATTCACTGTCCAATGAGGTCACTCTACATAACATTAACTGTCTATTGAGGTCACCGTACATACCATTCACTGTCCATTGATGTCACTCTACATACCATTCGCTGTCTATTGAGGTCACTATTCATACCATTCACTGTCCATTGGGGGCACTCTACATAACATTCACGGTCTATTGAGGTCACTCTACATACCATTCACTGTCTATTGACTTACTCTACATAACATTCACTGTCCATTGAGGTCACTCTACATAACATTCACTGTCTATTGAGGTCACTCTACATACCATTCACTGTCCATTGGGTCACTCTACATACCATTCACTGTCCATTGAGGTCACTCTACATACCATTCACTGTCTTTTGACTTACTCTTCATACCATTCACTGTCTATTGAGGTCACTCTACATACCATTCACTTGTCTATTGAGACCATCTCTACATACCATTCACTTGTCTATTGAGACTATCTCTACATACTATTTCACTTGTCTATTGAGCCCATCTCTACATCCCATTCACTTGTCTATTGAGACCATCTCTATATACCATTCACTTGTCTATTTAGGTCACTCTACATACCAGTCACTGTCTATTTAGGTCACTCTACATATCATTCACTTGTCTATTGAGACCATCTCTACATACTATTTCACTTGTCTATTGAGACCATCTCTACATACCATTCACTTGTCTATTTAGGTCACTCTACATACCATTCACTGTCCATTGAGGTCACTCTACATACCATTCACTGTCCAATGAGGTCACTCTACATACCATTCACTGTCCATTGAGACCATCTCTACATACTACTCACTGTCTATTTAGGTCACTCTACATACCATTCACTGTCTATTTAGGTCACTCTACATACCATTCACTTGTCTATTGAGACCATCTCTACATACTATTTCACTTGTCTATTGAGACCATCTCTACATACCATTCACTTGTCTATTGAGACCATCTCTATATACCATTCACTTGTCTATTTAGGTCACTCTACATACCATTCACTGTCTATTGAGACCATCTCTACATACCATTCACTGTCTATTGAGGTCACTCTACATACCATTCACTTGTCTATTGAGACCATCTCTACATACTTTCCTTGTCCATATTGACTACCTGTATATAGGGAACCATCTGTGGAATACACTTTTTAGACACTGAGTCTGGTAGTATTCACATGGATTTCTAAGAAAGGTGATAAAAATAAATTTAATCCTGACTAAACATTATAAATGTCTGTAGTTTTCTTCATAGTTCCTTAACTAAGATACACTGGGCTGAAACCAAGGTTCTCACCTGTCTGATTTGTCATGAGTTGTGAAATCTAGAGTTGAGAAGTCTTGAGTTGTGAAATCTAGAGTTGAGAAGTCTTGAGTTGTGAAATCTGGAGTTGAGAAGTCTTAAGTTATGAAATGTAGGGTTTATGAAGACTTAACATGTGAAGTCATGAGTTGTGAAATCTAGAGTTGAGAAGTCTTGAGTTGTGAAATCTAGAGTTGTGAAGTCTTGAGTTGTGAATTCTGGAGTTGAGAAGTCTTAAGTTATGAAATCTAGAGTTGTGAAGTCTTGAGTTGTGAAATCTAGAGTTGTGAAGTCTTGAGTTGTGAAATCTAGAGTTGTGAAGTCTTGAGTTGTGAATCTAGAGTTGTGAAGTCTTTGGTTGTGAAATCTAGGATGATGAAGTCTTAAGTTGCGAAGTCTTGAGTTGTGAAATCTAGAGTTGTAAAGTCTTGAGTTGTGAAGTCTTAATTGAGTTGTGAATTCTTGAGTTGTGAAGTCTTTTCAGAGTGTCTAGATATATCTTTGGTCTCCTATAAAGATAAAAGATATTCATAGTTACTTCCTTTGTTGTTTAATTGGTGTCAGGTAAACAGAATGATTTGTTCATTAACTGTGTAATATTGGACAGTTAAATAGCGGTAGAAAGATCCTTTACCAGGTATAAGCCTATAATTGAGTAATTCCCTTGAAGTCAAAGTAGTTTGGTTTATTCATTAATTAACCGTGCACACACAGGGATCAGAGCTCTCTGTGCCCACGCCCAGATCAGGCTGGCAATCATGTGTTTACATCTTGATCGTGTGACT